CTCCCTCGCCTGGTATGCAGGAGGTCGTGGGTTCAATCCCGACCCTGACGCCTGCTCTATATTTGGAGTCTGCGTGTCTCTCTCTCTCATCATCATCACGGTGGCTAGGAGATGTTGACTCCCTCGCCTGGTACGCAGGAGGTCGTGGGTTCAATCCCGACCCTGCCCCCGGCTGCTGTATGTTTGGAGTATGCGTGTCTCTCTCTCTCATCATCATCATCACGGTGGCTAGGAGATGTCAACTCCCTCGCCTGGTATGCAGGAGGTCGTGGGTTAAATCCTGACCCTGACGCCTGCTGTATGTTTGGAGTTTTCATGTCTCTCTCCCCGTGGTCGCGTGGATTTTTATCTGGGTCATACGGATTTTCCCCTTCACATTTAGAATCAACATCGCCATGCGTATAGAGTATTTGGCCGCTATAAATGTCCACACCATGAGCCACTGCATTGAGCTACCATTAGCGGCCAGGTCACTTCTGAGAAAGAACGACAAAGCAGCTCAGGGAGTCTTACCTGTTAAAATAAAAAATAGTTTAATTTTAAATATGGATGCACGTAGGGCTGCGTTTGTGCATCTCTGAGAGCTCTGGGTTGGAGGCCCGCGGCACAGAGTTGGCGGCTGAACGGCAAGTCGGGCGGCGAGTAATTGAGCTGTAATCACACACGTCGCACCATCAGCACATTCCTCCACACACAGCGGCGGCGGGCGGAGGACGCGGTGACACAAGCGGCGCTTTTGGGGTTGGGGATTCAGGGGCGAGTGGGGAGGTGAGGGGGGGGGTGCCCACGGGCAGCTGGTGGTCTCCACGTGACGTGAACTCAACGAGACGACGCGTACTCTCTGCGTTACACGCAACCTCCACTACAGGTGCTCTACTCCACGCGTCCCCGCGTGCCTGCATCTCACCCCCTCTTCACGCACAACTCCATCCAAGCCCGGGGGAGAGAGAGGACGGCGTTGTTGGGAGGTGGTGGGGGGGGCAGTCTGGGAGTAGACACCTACCTGGGACACCTACCTGGGACACCTACCGGTCTGGGGGGGTGGGGGGGGGATAGTGGGGGGGGGACACCTACCTTGGACACCTACCTGGGATACCTACCAGTCTGGGGGGGATGGTGGGGGGGGGGGGACACCTACCTGGGAGAGACGGAGCGTGTTCGTGTGCTCCCCTTCGATGAGTCCACTGAGCTCCGCTGGGTGACTCATGAGAGTCCACACGAAGTCGTACGTGTAGCCTGCCCACACGGCGTGGGAGGGGGGGGGCATGGGGAGGCACGAGAGAAGAGAGGAACGGGGAGGACAGGGAATGCACAGCAGACATGGGCGACGGTGGGAGATATAAGGGCACGATTTTTACCAGACCCACTGAACGTACAACGCCGTGATGGCTCTTAAAACACACACACGAATAAAGATCCCCCCGTGTGGCCTCTAACAGACTGTGGGGCAAGGGCTGTTAGGGAGTCTATATGAAGGCCGGGACTGCACACGAGGGCGGAGGGTAGGCGGCCAGCACCACGCCCGTTCGTCTTTGTTTCTCCCAGTGGCGATGTTTCCACATCGCACCAGGTACTCATTTCAGGCCAAGTAGACCTAGGGGAGGCCCAGGAGCAGTTCAAGTCTTGGCCAGTGTGATTGATCGCGATTGGAAATTAAACTTGGGTCGCCGCGTCCGAAACATAGTGTGCAGCGCTGACCACAACGTACACTCCCACACATACACAGCAACACACGCATACACAACACACACATAAGACGCACAACGCATATGCACACGTATTTGAAGTATTTGGTGATGCTGCTACAGATTTGTCAACAGTAACCCTGAAGGTGTGGGCTTGTAAAAATATATATAAATAATAGGTGAAGCCTCTGGCAATGGCCCATTCTTCATAGCACATAGGTCATACACACACACAAATACAGACACCCACAGACACACACACGCACACACAACACTCACAAACGACACTCACACCACACTCACAACACTCACATACACAACACTTAAACACACAACACTCACACGCACACACATACATGTGTGGCGAGGAGGAAGGTGAGACTGTGAGTTAGGGGAAGGGGAGACAGCCCAGGACACAATTCCAGTGGCACTTTAAAAGAACAGCTGCCCACAGATAACGATGCAAAGCATCGACTTAAGGGTTAGATGGGTGACCGCTTAATTAACCTAATTTGCATATTCAAACGATGAAAGATAAAGGTGCAGCACTGCAACTACTTGCTCACTGCTGGCTAAAGAGTCTGCACTCGAGCGGTAAGTGGGTAATTGGTCTCCTCTTCCATGTTGACCAGAGGGTTATGAGGGGCTTCACGCTAACAGGAGGTACAGTGAGGGAAAAAAAGTATTTGATCCCCTGCTGATTTTGTACGTTTGCCCACTGACAAAGAAATGATCAGTCTATAATTTTAATGGTAGGTTTATTTGAACAGTGAGAGACAGAATAACAACAAAAATATTCAGAAAAACGCATGTCAAAAATGTTATAAATAGATTTGCATTTTAATGAGGGAAATAAGTATTTGACCCCCTCTCAATCAGAAAGATTTCTGGCTCACAGGTGTCTATTATACAGGTAGAAAGCTGAGATTAGGAGCACACTCTTAAAGGGAGTGCTCCTAATCTCAGCTTGTTACCTGTATAAAAGACACCTGTCCACAGAAGCAATCAATCAATCAGATTCCAAACTCTCCACTATGGCCAAGACCAAAGAGCTCTCCAAGGATGTCAGGGACAAGATTGTAGATCTACACAAGGCTGGAATGGGCTACAAGACCATTGCCAAGCAGCTTGGTGAGAAGGTGACAACAGTTGGTGCGATTATTTGCAAATGGAAGAAACACAAAAGAACTGTCAATCTCCCTCGGCCTGGGGCTCCATGCAAGATCTCACCTCGTGGAGTTGCAATGGTCATGAGAACGGTGAAGAATCAGCCCAGAACTACACGGGAGGATCTTGTCAATGATCTCAAGGCAGTTGGGACCATAGTCACCAAGAAAACAATTGGTAACACACTACGCCGTGAAGAACTGAAATCCTGCAGCGCCCGCAAGGTCCCCCTGCTAAAGAAAGCACATGTACATGCCCGTCTGAAGTTTGCCAATGAACATCTGAATGATTCAGAGGACTCCTGGGTGAAAGTGTTGTGGTCAGATGAGACCAAAATGGAGCTCTTTGGCATCAACTCAACTCGCCGTGTTTGGAGGAGGAGGAATGCTGCCTATGACCCCAAGAACACCATCTCCACCGTCAAACATGGAGGTGGAAACATTATGCTTTGGGGGTGTTTTTCTGCTAAGGGAACAGGACAACTTCACCGCATCAAAGGGACGATGGACGGGGCCATGTACCGTCAAATCTTGGGTGAGAACCTCCTTCCCTCAGCCAGGGCATTGAAAATCGGTCGTGGATGGGTATTCCAGCATGACAATAACCCAAAACACACGGCCAAGGCAACAAAGGAGTGGCTCAAGAAGAAGCACATTAAGGTCCTGGAGTGGCCTAGCCAGTCTCCAAACCTTAATGACTTGGAGAAGATCTGCAAAGAGGAGTGGGACAAAATCCCTCCTGAGATGTGTGCAAACCTGGTGGCCAACTACAAGAAACCTCTGACCTCTGTGATTGCCAACAAGGGTTTTGCCTCCAAGTACTAAGTCATGTTTTGCAGAGGGGTCAAATACTTATTTCCCTCATTAAAATGCAAATCTAATTATAACACTTTTGACATGCGTTTTTCTGCATTTTTTTGTTGTTATTCTGCCTCTCACTGTTCAAATAAATCGACCGTTAAAATTATAGACTGATCACTTCTTTGTCAGTGGGCAAACGTACAAAATCAGCAGGGGATCAAATACTTTTTTCCCTCACTGTAAGGGCCTAATTATGCATATGGCAAAACGTTGTTATGAATCCATTAATCAAATGTATTTATTAACCTGTGTAAAATTTAGTAATTTATTCGTCGCAAGGTAAAGTTATAAAACATAAATCACTCACCACGCGCATTTATTTAAACAAATGTTCCACCCCCCCTTATCTTTAGCTGCTTTGGCAAAGTCAGGAATGATGATGTCATCGTTATTCAAAGACAATTTTGTTCCAATGGCCGTGCTACCATCGCTCAGCTGCGACTTCAAGGTGGAACGGAAGGCCTACTAAAAAGGAGGGCCTACAAAAGATAAGGGCGTAAGGCAGTGTTCCTAATTGCAAAGCCCATGGGCCACTGGTGACCTCTGGTGGCCCTTAGAGCGGCCCCTGACATGCGGCCCCCGACAACACGCAACGAGTGAACACACCAACCACCACCATCATCATCGTGCTGCTGCCAAACCCCCAATGGGGTTTCAAATGTGTGGCGGCCCTCACACTGATGATGTCTCATCGGCAAAAGTGGCCCCCCTGTGAAAATGAGTGAAGAACACTGGCCTAAGACCCCATTAGCCTCGAGGATAATCCGGCTCTGACCAGACGTATGGTAAGGGGTGGGCTGACCCACTCAAGACTTGTCGATGGCCCCGCTGTGGTGAACTCATCTATGCTGCCGCTGGGTGGACAGACGCGGCGGGTAGAGGGAACCTGCACCGGCCGCTGAATTGCAAATCACAGCGTGCCGACTGTGGCACTGCTGTGGCATCGAAATTACAAAGGAGGGGAGATATATGGAGGCAGAAATACACACAGTCGTTTCGTTAAATTAAAACTAAAACTTTTTTTGTTTTACCAGGTAAAGGCCCCACTGAGCTCTGTAGCTCGTTTTCAGAAGCGCCCTGGCCACAAATGACAGCTCAACGAAGTGGCTTATCATCATCACGTGGAAATGTATAGCAGCCAAATACTCTAAACGCGTGATGTTGATTCCAAATGTGGAGGGAAAATAAGGAGGACCCGGAGAAAAATCCACGCGACCGCGGGGAGAGAGGCACCCCAACTCAAAATAGATAGCAGGCGTCAGGGTCGAGATCGAACCCATGACCTCCTGTATACCAGGTGAGGTAGTTAACATCTTCTAGCCACTGTTGTGATTACTGAGTAAACAAGGAACATCGGCCCGACGTTGGGTCCAACAGTTCCAAACACATGCCAATGTTGGCCCAATGCTGGAATGTTTCATGGTTATCTGCATCTTTGAAGGGGGGTTTCGCTGCAGTGTGTGGCCGGAAGCCAGGCACGTAGCGGGTGGGGGGGGGGGGGCTAATCCCACGTGTGTGATTAGGTACATGGACATCATTCGTCAACTCGGCACTTCCGGCTTGGCACCTGATTGAGAATGCCCGCAGTAGTGAGTGTCGAAAAAGATACGGGGTCCGACCCAGGGGACCGCACAGGTCGACGGTACCCCGCGTGACCCGGGGTCACACCGAGTTGACCCCGAGTTGACCCCGAGTCCGGCCCTGATTTCCCCTCCATTCTCCGCAATTTGCGAGTCTCTCGCTTGAGCGGGACAGCTCTGCCACGTAAACTCTTCCAGGTCAAAGGTTCAAGACCGTGTTTCTGTTGAATGTGTTTTTTTTTCTTCTCTAAATTATATGCTGAATGTTGAAATGAAATGTGAAAAAACACATTTCTGCTTCCTACCACATTATTTAGTGACGTATTTCCTCTCTGCCTGACTCCCTACATAAACAATTCAGCAACCCTATGGCTGGTTTAGTTAGGTTTGTACACGTACGATTGTGCACCCTGGGTAGGAATGTTCCAAATCTCTATCTTTGAGGGCAAGGGGTGATGTGGGAGAGGGTGGTTTTGAGGTGGTGGGGGTAGGGGGATGCTACAGAAGAGTGAAAACACTTAAAACCGAAAATATAACAGCGAATCCATTAAAAGAAGGAACATTCATCACAATAACAGCATCAGGAGCAGGCAGTTTAAACTCCCGGAAACAGCCGTGAAAACATCAAACGTCAATATGCAAATTGCAAGGTGGCCGACGGATAAGTCGAGCAACCAGCGGGAGACAAACGCCGGCCCAGAAAACTCCGCCAAACTCACGGGCCCAAACTTCCGTTGACGACAGAGAAAAAAAATGTGGCAACGCGGAGCGGCGACAACTCGCGGTCACGCTCGGGTCACGTGACTCGTCGCGGAGACTGCGGCACAGCGTGCCATAACAGCACCGGACACCCGGACCGACGCGGCAAAGCGTGCGGGATGCCGTGACGCCGCTCGCCACAAAGGCAGAGACGGTGCCCCGTGTGGCCTGTAACGGACTGGCTGCCGGGGCAAACGCCGCCAGCGAGCAACGCCTACGAAGGCGGGGGCGGTGCACGAGGCGGGTGGCTGGTCAACGCCTCCCCGGTGCCGACGTTTACACACCGGCACCGGGTAATATTTTAAGGCTGATTGGACCGAGGGGAAGCCCAGGATCGAGCGCCACCCCACCGCACACAAACACAGATACAATTACACAACAGCCGTCAATCGCCACTAAGTGGCAGTGAAGTGACCGCCACGGTTGTGCCAGGCTAGGTGCACCTTGACGCCGTCACGTGAAGTGTGGAAGGCTCGCTGCCGGCAGAAGCTCACGGGACAGACCCAGGTGCTATGGGCTGACTGGCTGAGATGATTGGCAGATGCACCACCTGCACTCCCCCTCTGTGCCAACTCGCTGTATTTTAGCCGCAGGGTGGGAAAACAAACCAACACACACACGTTGACGCACATTCAGTACACCCCCCACCCCCCCAACGCACCTGGAGGAGGAGGAGGTGAGGCCGTCACGTTGATCCAGATGTCGTTTATTGGCAGCGTCACCTCCACGAGGCTGGGCAGCTCCAGTACCAAGCGCTTCACTGTGTGTCACAGAGACAAAGATCCCCCGCGTAGCCTTCAACAGACTGTTGGGGAAAGGGCCGTTGGCGCGCGCCTACGAAGGCCGGCACTGGCACACGAGAGGGTGGCGGGTGACCAGCACAACACCCGGTCGCCGCCTTTGTCTCCCCAGTGCTGATGTTTACACACGACACCAGGTACTCATTTGAGGTCGAGTCGACCTTGGGGAGGCCCAAGACCGGTTCAAATATTGAAACTGTTATTGGTCGTGCGCGGAAATCGAACTCGGGTGACCGGGTTTGTTGTGCAGTGTGCTAACCGCTGAGTTATCTCTGTGTCTCACACAGACACACATACACACAAGCACACGAGGAAATGCTGCGATGCAAATTCTTAAATTGTATTCATTTTTTGCATATGGGAATGCCAGGTATTAAGTAACAATAACTGACGTATATGCTTTTTGTTTGCATTTTTGTTCCTGTCACGTAACATAAATTTGGTAATTTATTCGGAGTGAATTTTTAAACAATGATGCGAACCAACTTTTGTGAATGGAAATAGATTTTAATTCCAAATTGGTTATGTTGTTTGCACGGATTTTTATTCTTCCTGTAATGCAGTTTTTTGCTTCGTTGTTGGATATTACTTTTGTAAAAAAAATGTTGTATTGTTATTGTAACTTGCTGACACACCCCCAACTAGCAATCTGCGAAAAGAGCTTCATAACTCATCAGATTCCTCCAGGATAAATAAAGATACTGATTCATAATTTTAGTCACCCTGGTCCACTCACGTGAAGGTGACATTCCATCCTGGTCTCTTTAGTTCTCAAACTGACACCGGAATGAGTTTGACTTGAAGGGGCGTGCCGGGGGGATCGCTTAGTCTTCAGCTGCAGTGGCGGTGGGGGGAGGAGGGGGGGAGGTGGGGGGGACGGGGGGGGGGTGCTGCGTTCAGGAGTCGAACTCAGGTAACCGGGGCTGTTACCCAGGTGACGCTACAAACAGCAGCTTCAGCAGCGCACTCTGCTGCAGGCATAGTTGGGGGGGAGGGCCGTGGTGGTGGTGCGGAGTGGTACGTAGTGGGTAAGAGGGGGTACAGGTGCGATCGCGAGGGGGCCAGGTAGACGCACCTTGCCTCCCGTCACCGTCGCTACTCGTGGGGGGCTCGCCGGTGGCGACGGGGGGCCCCGCCGTGCCGTTTGGGCCCCCGCCGCGCGCCTCCGAGGGGACAGCCGTGGCGCCCCCCGCGGGGCCGGGCTCCACGGGACCCCCATTAGGGGGGGTTCCTCCACCAGCGGGGGGAGGGCCCTGCCCCCCGCTGGTGGGCCCCTGGTGGGGCTCCTGGGTAGAGTTGTTGGGGGAGGGGACGGGAGCCCCTCCCGGCTCCGCTCGCGTCTGCCGCCGGTAGTCACGCGAAGATCGGGAGCCCCCCACTCGGAGCCCCCCCCGAGCCTCCACAGTGAAGGCTGCTGAGCACAGACAGAGGTGGGAGGGGGGGGGGGCAAGGGGGGGCAGCCGTGTTGTACGTACGTATGTTGAACTTCTTTCGCGCCGTACGTAGCCAACCGTGCTAACTGTAGCGTGTGGGGGGAAGGAGAACAAACTGAACGCAAGTCGAGGGTCGAAAAATAAATTAGTTTTCAATCAGCGAGCTCCCATACTCATGTGGCGTGTCGCGTGAAGTTTCGTTTGCTACTGAGTTTTTCCAGGTGCGAGCTGACGAGACGGGGATAGCCTCGCACACGGCACCGGAGTGAGCTGGCCTCGCTTGTCGGTGCGTGTGTTGGTGTGCAAGAGTTGTAGTGTGTGTGATCTATGTGTGTCATTGTCTTGGTGTGTGTGTGTGCTTCACCATAATCACACTGTGTCATTATCGTCAAGTGGTATTTCCTAATTGCTTATGCCTCAAAAGTACATCAAAATTAGTCCCCACAAACTTTGCTTTGGTGACCATGACAGGGATATTTTGAAATGAGAACACGTGGTGTGCATTTGTGTCTTTCGTTCACATAAAGTCCTGGTCACAAAAGTTTGTGGAGAATAATAGCCATTTTCTGTATTTTTTAGGCATAAGCGATACAAAAATAACACTTACTACCCAGTAACAAAAATTGTGTTACATAGTGTAATCTGAACCAGTGGCGATGTGTAAAACATGGCCACTGCGGAGACAATGCCGATGTTTACACACCACACGAGGTTCTCATTTGAGGCCAAGTCAACCTAGGGGAGGCCCAAGAATGGTTCAGAAAAAAGTCACCGGGGTTGGTTCGTAGTCCAGCTACACTCCCACTCCACGTGCACACACAAAGATAAAGACAAAGATCCCCGGTATAGCCTGTGACAGACTGTTGGGGCAAGTGCTGTTAGAAGCACCTCTGAAGGCCAGAACGGCACACGAGGGGGTGGGTGGCCAGCACCACGCCCAGCCGCCTTTGTCTCCCCAGTGGCGATGTGTGTACGTGTGTGTACACACACACATATCTACAGGGTGAAGAGCCACCGTTCTCCACTGAGTGGCGGTGACATCACCACGGCACTTGTGCCACAGGCTGTGGGGCCACGTGGAGGTGACGGGAGGGAGGATAGAGCCCAGCCAGATATAGCCCGCCGGCGGTGACGGCAACTTCACCGCATTAATTGCGCTCCATCTAGCCCCCATCGCGGAGCGGTGGCGCAACGCAGCGCCACGAACCCGGCGACCCGAGTGACGATTATCTGAACCGGTCATGGGTCACCCCTAGATCGACTCGGCCTCAAATGAGTACCTGGTGCGGTGTGTAAACATCGCCACTGGGGAGACGAAGGCGGCCGGGCGTGGTGCTGGCCACCCATCACCTCGTGTGCCGTGCCGGCCTTCATAGCTGCTCGCTAACAGTACTCTCCTCAAGAGTCCGTTCAGGCTATGCGGGGGATCTTCGTCTTTGTTTACCTTCACAGGCGCTCGCTAACAGCATTCCCCCCAACAGTCTGTTCAGGCTACACCGGGGATCTTTGTCTTTGTGTCTAAGAGGCGGCTCACATTCGATTCCTGGCCACGGCCAGCACTCAGTGGGCGGATATCTGAACTAGTCCAGGGCGTCCTAACCCGAGGTCAACTTGGCCTTCAACGAGTTACTTGGTGCGGTGTGTAAACATCGCCACTGGGGAGACAAAGGTGGCCCGGGTGTTGGTGCTGGTCACCCATCCTCTCGTGCGCCATTCCGGCCTTCATAATTGCCACTCGTTTACAGCACTTGCCCCTAAAAGTGTGTTATGCCTATACGGGTACCTTTGTCTTTGTGTGTGAGCGAGTGTGTGTCGGGCGTGGTTCTAGCCACCCCACCCCCTCGTGTGCGGTGCCAGCCTTCGTAAGTGTAACTCGCTAACAGCACTTGCCCCAACAGCCTGTTGAGGCTATACGGGGGGGGCTTGACCCTTTATATTTGTGGCCCCGGGCCAGGATGTGATAACGAATGCTCGATGTTCAAGAGCTCTCGCGAGGAGCAGCTGCCTCCTCCAGCTCCAACAGCCAGCTCACGTGACCCAACAAATAACAACAACAGCAGCAGCTCTTTCCTCGTAGCTGACTATGAATACGACACTCGGCTACACAGGAGACTCGATACTCATTCTAGATTTGAAGCTTTCGTGACTGCAAGGATTCATACTCTTTGGGTTTTTTCGGTAAAGTCACGTAGGTAAAAAATCAATAAAATAAAATAAATAATAAATAAAACACATTTAGTTTGATTTTATTTTATTGTTTTTTTACCTACGTGACTTTACCGAAAAAAACAAAGACTATCGATACTCATTGCCAGCAGGGTCCTGCCAATTGTTTGTAGTCGAGGACGATATCGGTGCTGGAGTGTGTAATCCCGAGATGTTAACTCCCTCGCCTGATATACAGGAGGTCGTGGGTTCTATCCCGACCCTGACTCCTGCTGCTGTATATTTGGAGTCTGCGTGTCTCTCTCTCCCCGTGGTCGCGTGGATTTTTCTCCGGGTCCTCCGGTTTTTTTCCCTCCACATTTAGAAATGTGCGTTGAGGATATTTGGCTGCTAGACATTTCCACGTGATGAGCCACTTCGTTCAGCTATTGTTTGTGGCCAGGTTGCTGCTTATAAAGAGGTATTTGGGGGCTTTACCTGATAAAATAAAATAATAGTTTTGTTTAATTTGCAGTGCAATTTTTTCAGCATTGGAATGTTTGGCCAACACCGGTTCCAATTATTTTGTTTTATCTACGGGAGGAGAAACCAGAGGGTACCGATGAAAAACAGGGGCGAACATACAAACTTCACGAACTCACTAAACACACAAAGACACTCCCATATCGCCTAAGCAGACTTTTTGGGGCAGGTGCTGTTAGCGAGTCGCACCTATGAGGGCCGCTACAGTACACGCGGGGTTGGGTGGTCAGCACCACGCCCGACCGCCTTTGTCTCTGCAGTGGCGATGTTTACACACCTCACCAGGTACTCATTTGAGGCTGAGTCGACCTAGGGGAGGTCCAGGACCGGTTCAGATAATCGTCATTGGTGATGTCCGTGAGCGGGAATCGAACTCAGGTCGCCGGGTTCGTAGCGCAGCGCGATCACCTCCTTTCACACACTCTCACACACTCTCTCACACACTCTCTCACACTCTCACTCTCTCACATTCTCTCACTCTCTCACACTCTCTCACTCTCTCTCTCACTCTCTCTCACACTCTCTCACACTCTCACTCTCTCACACTCTCTCTCACTCTCACACTCTCTCACACTCTATCTCTCACACTCTCTCTCACACTCTCTCACACACTCTCTCACACTCTCTCACACACTCTCACACTCTATCACTCTCTCTCACACTCTCTCTCACACTATCTCACTCACTCTCTCACACTCTCTCTCACACTCTCACTCTCTCACACTCTCTCACTCTCTCTCACACTCTCACACTCTCACTTTCTCACACTCTCTCACACTCACTCTCACACACTATCACTCACACTCTCACACACTCCCACACTCTCTCACACACACTCTCACACTCTCTCACACTCTCACTCTCTCTCACACACACTCTCAATCTCACACACTCGCACACACACTCTCACACTCTCTCACACTCTCTCACACTCTCTCACTCTCTCACACTCTCTCACACTCACACACACACTCTCACTCTCACACTCTCTCACACTCTCACACACACTCTCACACTCTCTCACACTCTTTCACACTCTCTCACACACTCTCACTCACACTCTCTCACACTCTCTCTCACACACTCTCACACACTCTCACACACTCTCACACTCTCTCATTCTCTCACACTCTCTCACACTCTCTCACACTCTCTCACTCTCTCACACTCTCTCACACTCACACACACACTCTCACTCTCACACTCTCTCACACTCTCACACACACTCTCACACTCTCTCACACTCTTTCACACTCTCTCACACACTCTCACTCACACTCTCTCACACTCTCTCTCACACACTCTCACACACTCTCACACACTCTCACACTCTCTCATTCTCTCACACTCTCTCACACTCTCTCACACACACTCTCACTCTCTCATTCTCTCACACTCTCTCACACTCTCACTCTCACACACTCTCTCATACACTCTCTCACATACTCTCACTCTCTCTCACTCTCTCTCACACTCTCTCACACTCTCTCACACTCTCTCACACACTCTCTCACACACTCTCACACACTTTCACTCTCTCACTCTCTCACACTCTCTCACACACTCTTAGACACTCTCTCACACACACTCTCACACACACTCTCACACACTCTCACACACTCTCTCACTCTCTCACTCTCTCACACTCTCTCACTCTCTCTCACACTCTCTCACTCTCTCTCACACTCTCTCACTCTCTCTCACACTCTCTCACTCTCTCTCACACTCTCTCACTCTCTCACACTCTCTCACTCTCTCACACTCTCTCACTCTCTCACACTCTCTCACTCTCTCACACTCTCTCACTCTCTCACACTCTCCCACACTCTCACTCTCTCTCACACTCTCTCTCACACTCTCTCGCACACTCTCACACACTCTCTCACACTCTCTCACACTCTCTCACACTCTCACACACTCTCACTCTCTCACACAGTCTCTCACACTCTCTCACACCCTCTCACACACACTCTCTCTCACACTCTCTTACACTCTCTCACACTCTCTCACACTCTCACACACTCTCACTCTCTCACACACTCTCTCACACACTCTCTCACACACACTCTCTCTCACACTCTCTCACACACTCTCACTAATTCTAACACCGCCTAAACAACACGGGGATAACATACAAGCTTCACTCACACTTTCACACACTCTCACTAACTCACACATAGACTGCAGAACAGGGGGAGAATATACAAACGCCACTCTCACAAGCTCACACACACTGCAGAACAAGGGGAGAGCATACAAACGCCACTCAGTTTTATGGCCGAGTCAGGAATCGAACCGAGGCGCTTGTTGCTGAGCGGCACGAGTATCGATCACTGCCACTACACAGGCCGGATCCGAGCTGTCCCACTGCCACAGAGCGACGGCTTCGTTAGCCGAACAACAACAAACAAGACGCTGGGAAGAATCACGCGTTGCCCTTGGTTATGTAACGCTCTCCAGCACCACGCGGCCTCACCTCGGAATCAATGAACTTGCAGTGGTTACAAGCGGGGGGTGCAAATGGGGTAGTTTGCATGTTTTCTTGTTGTTTGTGAACCGTCCTTTTGTTGATGTAGTTCGCTGTGGCCAAGCGATGGACCCTCGCCGTGTTGATCAGCGTGGCCGGATTCCCTCCCGGCTAAAGCCCCCCCGATGGTAAACATGATAGTCCCATTGGGTCATCTCGACGGTGAGTGACCGTGCCCCCCCCAACACAGTTACGGAAGCCAACGCACTGAGAGTTCAACACGTGGTAGACCAATGTCATCCATAATACGAGTTAGAGCGCGTAAATATATAAATGTGTCGTTAAACCCGCCACCACCCGACACAGCCAACTAGTAAGGTTTGTCACGTAAACAGAACGTGGCCAATTCGTTACTCATACAGCACCACCGGTTGTGTGTTGGAGAGCCAAGCCAGAGTTGTTTACGTGACAAACCTTACTAATTGGCTGTGTCAAGTGGTGGCGGGTTTAACGACGTATTTATACATTTACGCGATCTAACGCACTGACACTTTGATCCTTGGTTGCGAATGGGTAAAAAAAACCTTTTAAACCGGGATTTGGTGCTCCATCGTGGAGGGAATGCAGTGATGTCATTCCACTCACGTATCGTGATTCATTCCACTAACAATGATGTCATTTCACTCACGTATCGTGATTAATTCCACTAACAATTATGTAATTCCACTCACGTATCGTGATTCACTCCACTAACAATGATGTATTCCACGAACGTACTGATTCATTCCACTAACAATGATTCATTCCACTAACAATGATGTCATTCCACTCACGTATCGTGATTCATTCCACTAACAATGATGTATTCCACGAACGTACTGATTCATTCCACAAACGTAAAGTGAATAATGGCACTAAGTGTTTCATTCCAATAGTATAGTGATTAATCCCATGAACATATCGTGATTTATTCCACTAACATAAGTGCCACTTACATATAGTGATTCATTCCACATTCATATCGTGATGCATTCCACTGATTAATTCCACGAACAAAGTGATTAATTCCACGAACACATTGACTTATTCCAACCCAACTAATAAACATGCAGCGTCGGGCCAACGTTGATCCACATGCCCACAGCGTTGAGCCAACGTTGGCATTTTAACTGGAAAGTTCCTACCTCACTGCACTTGATATAAGTCAGGGTGATTGAAGACCCAGACCTCACTATTCCACTCCAGTGATTTACTCACCTGCAGTCCGTCGCCTCCGTATCACTCATCTATCGCTACTACCACGGTGACTCTTCCTGTGGACGTTACCCTGCTTGTTTCCTGCCACGTGTTGAGAACTCGGCTTGCCAGACCGTTGCGTCTCATTCACACTCAACCACCACCACACAATGCAGATCACAACATTACACACTCGGCCCACTCGTTCACTCACCCCTGTCACTTAACCACTCAGTCACTCACCACCCTGCTCTTTCTGGAATTCCCACCTCCCACCATCATCATCATCTCTGTTACACCCCCCCCCCCCCCCCCCCCAAGTTCACAGAATACTGTGAACTTTAACAACGTTGATAACAGTGCTGTTTGTCGCAGGCCGCTTAGCGTTTTGAGCCTTTGGGGCTGTGTGCTCAGCAGCTTCGGTTGTTTAATCAAACCCCCCCCGGGGGGGGGGGGGTAGTTAGGGTTGATTAATTATTAATTAGGCGCATATTTTATATACATTTCCCCCCACAGTTGGTGTGGACCCACTGAGTTGAGGTTTTTACACAAAGATGACCATGTTGGTGGCACAAGCGGTATCAGCGAGCGCCTGTTGTGATGAAGGGCCTCGTGGCGCGCGACGCGGTGATGAGGGCTGCCTTTGATTCCCCAGCTCTGCACCACCAGTTCGCACAAATGCAAAGATCCCCCGTAGAGCCTAAATAGACTGTTGGGGCAAGCGCTGACACGGCACACGAGGGGGTGGGCGGCCAGCACCACGCTCAACCGCCTTTGTCTCCCCAGTGGCGATGTTTACGCACCGCACCAGGTACTGTACTCAGTCGACTTAGGTGAAGGCCCAGGACCGGTTCAGATAATCCTCACGGGGTGTTGGCGGCCGTGAGCGGGAATCGAATCGTCGTGGCGCGCCACGCTAACCGCTGCACCACCGCTCCCCACACACACACACAACACACACTCAACTCACTCGCACGGCAGCACACACGCAATGCGTTGAGTTGCATAATTGTTTTTGTCCCCTAACTCCATCCTCTGGGCGACAACCCCAGAAAGCCCCCGAGCGACCCCTCCCCCCCCGAGGCTCCTCTTCCACGCAGGAGGTGCGGTACCAAAGTGCGCCGGTGGTCTACGACCCCAGTGCCCCCCCCGGCTCCTCCCATTGCTCAAAATAAAGTGTATCGCTAATTACAGTTCTGTGTTCACTTATAAGTGGCATGGCCAGTAAAGAGCTGCACACCCCGTCTAGCAAGGTGCTATTACTCGTGTCGTTATTGCACAGCACACGAACGCGTTATAACGGGGGCGTTCCGCGTTGCGCGAAACGTGTTCCCTTATGAGAGAAGGCCCCCTAACCGCCCCCCCCCCTCCACCTCAGGTCCCTCTTGCAAAGTAAACTCTATCTTGGCCTCCCCAGTTCCCACCTGGTTAAACTGATAATTATCACTTGAAAAATTAGATGGGCGATCACCTAGCGTAATAGGTGTTATAGGCAGCCGCGTGGCGAGGCTGTCAGCGGAATCCATCGGCGTGCTTTCACTCCGTACGCTTCAACCTATATGCTCCTCGCCTTCACCAGCGCGGTGAAGTATGGTCAATCAATGCCGTAGCAAGGCGCTCACCCAGCAGCTGACTGACAAAACACGGGGGGGGGGGGGGGTTGAACGCGCACCATCACTCACCCAGTAGCAGCAGCGTGGTGAGCACCAGCAGCGTGGTGAGGAAAGGGGGGGCCCTGGGCCCCTGACCAATCACCATCAGCATCCACCCCCCTCAATGGAGCCCGCAGACCCCCTCGCTGGAGTCCGCGTGGGGGTAAGGAGTGGAGGAGTGGAGTTGAGAGGGTGGTGGGGGGGGGTCAGGTCCGAGGCATCCCCGAGGCGAGAGGCTTCTCTCCCTGCACGCGCGCGGGTGCACACGTAGCACGCGCCCGCTCAGCTCGCCGTGCACAGACGAAGGTCCCCCGTGTAGCCTGCACCTAAACCGTCGGGCAAGTGGTCGGTAGCGAGCGCCAGCGAAAGGCCGGGCATGGCGCACGAGGCCATCACCACGCCCGACCGCCTTTGTCTCTCCAGTGTCTTATCTGTGCTAATAGACGCTATGTGGGTGTATATCCGGCGTGCGCGTTGTGATGTTTTGTGTTTGTTAGAGCCGGGATAGGGTTGTTACGTGCTGTGTATTTATAGCTGTATGGAGATGCTGTATGCTGTGTGTGTAGCCAGTATCGATATGCTATGAGTTGTGTATATGTGCTGTTCGTATATTTAGTATAGGACTGCTGTGTGCTGTGTGTAGCCAGCATAGGACTGTTGTGTGCTGTGTGTGTAGCCAGCATATAGATACTGTGTGCTGTGTGTGTAGCCAGCATAGGACTGCTGTGTGCTGTGTGTGTAGCCAGCATAGGACTGCGATGTGCTGTGTGTGTAGCCAGCATATAGATACTGTGTGCTGTGTGTCTAGCCAGCATATAGATACTGTGTGCTGTGTGTGTAGCCAGCATATAGATACTGTGTGCTGTGTGTGTAGCCAGCATAGGACTGCGATGTGCTGTGTGTGTAGCCAGCACAGCGCTGCTGCTATGCGCCGTGTGTGTGTACTGACTCACCTACTCCTGCCTGCGTGCTATTATCCCTTCGTCACGCGTCCTTCGCTCCGATTACAGCGGGCACAGCGACAGCCGTCTCTCTATAGCCTCACCCAAACCCCACAGGCTCGCTCAGCAGCCACAGCCGGCGCTGTAGACAGACAGCCAGACTGCCAATCAGCCAGCCAACAACACCCCCCTCCACAGCCTGCCCCTACAGCCTGCCCCCCTACAGCCTGCCCCCCTACAGCCTGCCCCCCTACAGCCTGCCCCCCTACAGCCTGCTCTACACAGACAAACAGCCTGCCCTGTGCGGCGCTCGACTCAGGCACGCTCCCTCGCGCACGCGCGTGAGATGACAGAGGGGGCGAGGGTGGGAGGTAAGGGAGAGAGGGGGAGCGAGGGGAGGGAGGGAGCGAGGGAGGGGAAGGAGGGAGGGAGGGGAAGGAGGGTCGTGAGGTGACAAGAGGTAGCGAGAGGGGGAGTGTGCTAGGGGAAGGGAGTGTCTCATGGTAATTGGATGACAGGAGGGATAATTTGTTTATCATAATTACCACCACCACCAACATTGTCGTCGCAGCCACCACCACCACAACCATCGGTACCACCTTCGTTATTGCCGGCATCGCCACCACTATCATCAACATCAGCAGCAGAACCATCATTATCAGCAGGACCACTCTCAGCAACCACCACATGTCAGCAACACGACATCAGCAACAGCCGCCGTTCGCCACTAAGTGGCGGTGATGTCACTACGGCGCTTGTGCCAGGCTAGGTGCACTTCGTGGCCACGTGAAATATCGAGAATTCGCTGGCAGGAGGTGGACGGGACAGAGACTCAGGTGCCATCGTTCGACTGAGATGAGTGGCAGATGCACCACTGTGCTAACTCGCTGCGTTTTATCCGCCCGACGCTCCGCTCGTTGTTGTGAGCGTCGCTCCTCCGCCTTCCGCTGTTGCTGGAGGGCGACTGCCTCCAACTGCCCAGTAGCCTCAGTCAGTTAACGCATACAATATATACACCGTATGTATGTTCTATTGTTTAGAATTCTCACATTTTATGTTGAGTTTGAGTATTAGTGTGATGGCGCTTTGAGTGGCAGATTTGTGTCAGAGAGACGTGCCACGCGTTCATGTGTATGTGTGTGTATGTATATGTGTGTATATGTGTGTGTATGTATGTAATGGGGAGCGATAGTGTGGCGGTTAGCGCACTGCGCTATGAACCTGGCGACCCGGGTTCGATTCCCGCTCACGGCCAACACCAGTGACGATTATCTGAACCGGTCCCGGGCCTCCCCTAGATCGACTCAGCCTCAAATAAGTACCTGGTGCGGTGTGTAAACATTGCCACTAGGGAGACAAAGGCGGTCGGGCGTGGTGCTGGCCACCCACCCCCTCGTGTACCGTTCCGGCCTTTATAGCACTTGCCCCTCCCTACAATCTTATGTGTGTGTGTATATATGTCTGTATGTGTCTGTGTGTGTGTATATGTCTGTGTGTGTATATGTCTGTGTGTGTATATGTCTGTGTGTGTATATGTGTAGCGGTTAGCGCGCTACGCTAGGAACCCGGCCCCCGGCGATTCCCGCTCACGGTCAACACTGCAGAAGTACCTTGGACAGTGCTGTGGGGGGAGGGCTAAACGGGGGCTCTGTGGGAGCGTGGCGGTGAGGTGTGGGAAGCTGTAAGCACTAGGCTACTTTGGGCTCGCCTTCCCATCAACCGGAGGCGAGGAGTGGTGGTCGTGGTTACTTATGCCCCCACTGAAGACGAACAGATGCTGGCTAAAGTGGCCCCTCGGGATAGAGTCATCTTGTTGGGTGACTTTTGGGTGACTTCAATGCCCGAGTTGGTCATGATGCCAGCATCATGACCAACTCGATTGGTGGGCATGAGCCGGTAGGAGGCTGCTAGATTTTTGTGCAGCCCATGGGCTTGTAATTACCAACACGCTGTTCCGGCATCAGCGCATCCACACAACATCATGGATGCATGCCGAGTCCAAGCAAGAACATCTGCTGGACTACATAGTGACGGACCAGCGGATGCGAGCCCATGTCCTTGACACCAAGACCTACCGTGGAGCTGATCTGCCCTCTGACCATCGACTAGTCATCTGTAAGATGCGCCTGCCATTCTTCCACTCCGGTGGTGGGTGTACACCCAGGACCCCATTCCAACCTAAAGTGGCCTGGTCTCAGTTATCTGATGAAAGTTGCAAGCGGGAATTTCATCATCGTTTGTGACTGGGGTTGGCATCGTCCTCCACTGCTCCTGATGTCGAGAGTAAATGGGCGAGGTTCAGGACTGTCACTCATGCAGCTGCATTGGCTGCTTTGGATATGCGGTCCAGACCTCCCCAGAGACCCTGGCTGACAGAGGAGGTGTTCAGGATAGTTGAGAAAAAGCGACAGGCCCACTGTCATCGGCTACAGAATCCCACGTCAGAGAATGAGGAGGCTTACCGCAGCCTTTGCTCGGAGGTTCGGAGAGCCGTGAGGCGCTGCAAGGATGGGTGGTGGTCGCGGGTTGCTGAGGAGATGGAGTCTGCCTCAGTGGCCCGCGATCACAAATATCTATTTAACTCCATCAAAAAAGTAACCTGCAGCCCCTCACCTATTACCATCATTAGGGGAAAAACGGTGATCCAATCTCCGACCCCCAGGAACAGGTTTGCAGATTTGCTGAGCATTTCTGAGGTCGTGGGGGAAGGAAAATCTCTCAGCCAGGAAAACATCGTGGCACAAAGTGGGGATGACCCTGCTGAGGCTGCGGTGCCTCAAATATTGGAAGAAGTCACCCCCTGTGAGTGGCTGGCTGAGGTGCCATCTGTTGAGGAAGTACTGAAGGCGATCCGGAGTCTGAGACAAGGAAAGGCAGCGGGCAGAGATGATCTCCCAAGCGAAATGCTGAGGGAGGGTGGCGTTTTTGCACAGACTGCCCTATATGACATCATAACAACAGTCTGGACCACTGGACGGGTTCTGCAGGATTGGAACGATGCCCTAGTGGTCCTCCTCTTTAAGAAGGGGGACCGCACAGACTGTAACAACTACAGGGGCATCTCACTCCTCAGTGCGCCGGGAAAGGTCCTGGCAAGGATTATTCAACATCGCCTTGCCAGACACGCTGAGGGGAGGCTTGCGGAGCCCCAATGCGGTTTCAGGAAAGGGCGGTCCTGCACAGATACCATATTTTCTGTCCGTCTGCTACAGCAGAGGTGTAGGGAATTCCAGCAAGACCTACATCTCTGCTTTATTGACCTGGTCAAGGCCTATGATACCATCAATAGGCCTGGCCTCTGGGTTGTTCTTCGTGCTTTTGGAGTCCCTGACCCTCTGCTCACGATCATTAAGGACCTTCATGATGGTGAGCGGGCCCAGGTAAAACTATGTGGCCGGGAGTCAGAGCCATTCCCTGTACACCTTGGGGTGCGACAGGGACGTCATCTGGCTCCCACATTATTTAACATCTATTTTGGCCACGTAGTTCGTGAAGCCTTCAATAGCTGTACCGGGAGAATCTCCATATGGTACAGATATAATGGGAGGCTGATCGATGCCCGGGTGCGGTCAAGGGATGGCTCCCGATTGCTCAACCACGTTATGTATGCCGATGATTTGGTAATAGCTGCTCATTCAGAGGAGGAGTTGGAGACGCTGCTGCTGAGACTGGAGCGTGCCACTAAGAGATGGGGCCTTACCATCAGCCCCACCAAAACTAAGCACCTGCCTGGGTATTTTGTACCATCGGACACTCCACACCCACAACTCCCAATCGGTGATGGGGCAGTTGTGGAGAGAGTGGAGAGTTTCCCATACCTGGGCAGTGTGCTTATGACCGGTTCCAGTTTAACAGCAGAGGTCTCACTCCGAATCAGTCGAGTGGCAATATCTTTTCATCGGTTGCGTAACGCTGTGTGGAAGCTACCTGGTCTGTCGCTCCACACTAAGCTTCAGGTCTTCTCGGCCACGGTCATTCCCTCCCTTCTCTACGCTTGCGAAACGTGGACCCCCCTAATGGAACATCTTTGCCGGTTAGAAACATTTAGGCTAGCCTGCCTACGATCCATCTTGGGTTTAACCAGGCTGGATTGTGTGAGGAGCTCACAAATCCTTGAATGATCTGGGCAAGGTCCCATCGGTGAGCTCCTCTGGCAGGCAAGGCTGCGTTGGCTGGGTCATGTAGCCCGCATGTCCAGCCACCGCATGCCGAAACAGCTTTTGTTCGGCCGGATTGAGGGGGTTAAACGAGCGCGGCACGGGCTAGAGAAGAGATGGAGTGATATGGTACAGGAGGACGTGGAGCTGAGTGGACTTGCTGATGACTGGTACCAGCGGTGTCATGATCGGCCTCTGTGGAGGAGGCTCGTGAAGGACGCTACTGGGCAGTTGGAGGCAGTCGCCCTCTAACAACAACGGAGGGCAGAGGAGCGACGCTCACAACAACGAGCGGAGCGCCGGGTGGCTAAAGCACAGCAGGTTGGCACAGTAGGGGGCACAGGTGGTGCATCAGCCAGTCATCTCAGTCATCTCAGTCAGTCGACCCGTGGCACCTGGGTCTGCCCCGTGACCTCCTGCCAGCGGGCGTTCGACACTTCACGCCAGGCCATGTGCACCTTAAGGTGCACATGGCCTGGCACAAGCGTCGTGGTGACGTTACCGCCACTTAGTGGCGAATGGCGGTTGTTGTTGTGTGTATGTATGTGTGTATGTGTGTGTGTATGTATGTGGTGGGGGCGGTAGTTGAGCGATAAGCGCGTCGCGCTACGGACCCGGCTACCTGGTTCGATTCCTGCCCACGGATGACAACGCCAGACTGATATCAGAACCTGTCCTGGACCTCCCCCAGGTCGACTTAGCCTCAAATGAGTAGCTGGTGCGATGTGTAACCATCGCCACTGGGGAGGTTGCTCGTCACCCTACCTCTCGTGTGCCACAGGGCCCGTCTTCAATGGCTGCTCGCGAACAGCACAACAGCCTATTAAGGGGGGGTGTTGGGTGTGTGTGTGTGTTTGGTGTGTGTGTGTTTGGTGGGTGTGTGTGTGTTTGGTGTGTGTGTTTGGTGTGTGTGTGTGTTTGGTGTGTGTGTTTGGTGTGTGTGTGTTTGGTGTGTGTGTTTGGTGTGTGTGTTTGGTGAGTGTGTTTGGTGTGTGTGTGTTTGGTGTGTGTGTGTTTGGTGTGTGTGTGTTTGGTGAGTGTGTTTGGTGGGTGTGTGTGTGTTTGGTGTGTGTGT